GAATATGTAGATTTTGCACTTAATCATCCAATCTTCTGTTNTGATCTTTCAGCTCACCAAGAAGATCTTTTCAAAACAGGAGTCAACATAAGTATTCATATTGAAAAAACACAAGGAGATGTAACAGGTTATTGTTTATTATTGGAAGAAACAAAACATTTAATTAAAATAGCAGATAGAAGAATGATAAGAATTGAGTAAAAAATATACCCTTAAAAATGAAACCAGAAACTTTAGTCACGAAAACAGCTTCACCAACTGTAATAACTTTCAATGGTAAAAAAATCAGCATAACTAAAAAACTTATTGATAAATACAAATATTGTAAAGTCAGAGACGATATAGATTTAGAAAGAATTGACGCGAACGCAAAAGAAGGTGGATTTATATTTTCCCTACCTTTAATATTTGCTGGTATTACCGCGGCGGCCACAGTGGCTGGTGCTACAGCTGCTGGAGTCAAAGCTGCCAACGCAAAGAAAGCTGCTATTGCAGAAGCTGCTGCTAAAAAAGCCACCGATGAAAAGAACGCAGCCGAAGAACATAGACATAATTTAAAAATGGAAAAGTTGGCAGCTGAGATTGAAAAACCTAAAACGGAAAAGAAAGGTTCAGGAGTGGGAGAAATGATAGGCACAATGAAAGAATTTGGAAAAAGATTTAGTGAAGAAACCAAGAAAACTGTCAAACAAGGATTAAATAAATTAGTAGATAGTATTGACACAGGAGAAATCAAAGTCAAACATAAGGGTAATGGAATATTTTTAAAAAATATACGCACTGGAGAAGAAATATATCTTTCGAAGTATAAAGGAGAAGGAGTGATTTTTGGAACAAATTAAAATAATAAAAAATGGGTAAAAAATTTAATCATTCAGAAATATTTCCTAATAACCCAATGCTCATATGTATATGCGGTAGTTCCGGTTCTGGGAAAACTCATCTCACTTTTAACATGTTGACAACACCAAACCTTTTAGATTTCGATTCTTTGTATATCTACACAACAACACCAGAGCAATCGTATTATCAATTTCTCAAAACTTTAGAATATCTACCAAAGAGAGATGTTCAAGACTTATTTCAATATTACAAAGAAAACGAAGAAAAAGTGGAATTGAAAGATTTCATAGATAACTACATCGAAGGAAAGAAACCAACGGATATAAAAGTTTTTCTTACGAAAAATGTTAATGATCTAGATTTGTCTCAAATTGATAGCGAGCGAAAGAACTTAATATTGTTTGACGACTGCGTAGCGCAAAGAAATCAAACTGTTCAACAAGAATTCTTCACGAAAGGAAGACATCACAACTGTCACTGCATATACCAATCCCAATCTTTTTACGGGATGGATTCTATGTTCATTAGAAAAAATGCAAATTGTTTTTTATTATTTATCTCAAATCATTCAATCGATAAATCACGGAATGGACAAAGATGCATTTAAAAAGGTTTGTAAAGCTCAATGGAGAAATCCAGATGATCATGGATATGTATTTGTAAATACTAGAAAACCTACGGGTGAAAGAGTTATGACAGATATATGTTAATTTTACCCACACCTCCCAAAGCGATTGAATATAGTGGTGTTATAATTAGGACATTAGATGATATAAATCGTCTTTTTTCAAACCCTGACCCAGATTTACCAAAGAGCATTTCACCAATCGTTGATAATCAAGGTTTATTGTTTAATGGATTTAGAATTATATTTAGTGGAAATTCACCACAATTCAAAATCGACACAAAAGATTATATATACACATTACGAAAGGATTAATAGATTAATAA